TTTTTTATTCACAATCCGCGCCGACTCGAGAGGGTTGTTATCGTTTTTTGCGGCCGAAGGCCGCCACCCGCTACCACTTTTCGGGCATAACTCACGGCGGGGCGGCGACGCGCGCGGCTCCTATACGAATCTCGCGATTCGACCGCTCCGCCGCTGCGGCGCCCGTATCGCAACTTGGTTCCGCCACGGCTCCGTTCTGCTGTTTATTTGGACGGCCCATCATCTGAACTCCTATGCCAGTTCAGTATGTGGACCGCTCATTCGTATTTTCTACCTTCGCCTTCTTTTCATTAACGGTCCATATTCTGAACTGGCTTGGAGGTCTACTTTGTGGACCGCTAATTTCCTCGGTTATTTCGCGTTAAATTAGTGAGTACCCACCCGGGACCCCATTCCCTCTCCCTTCTCCCGAATGTGTGCAAGGGGGGTGGAGATATAGGTTATGTTTGGGAACGGTCCATATACTAAACTATTTCCGGGAAACAGTGCTTGGTGACTGGTCGTTCTGGAAACGAGTGTTGCAAGGTATAGTCTGTCCCAGATACGAAGAGCCCTGGAAAATCAGAATAATTTGCACTATGTAGAAGCAAGGTATCGTTCGTTCTATTGTGCCCGACTAATCACCGAGCAAACCCCGCACCGTACAGAGGGTTGGTTATGAGCTCCGCGGCGCGTTGGCGTCTTACGCCGGGAATCCGCTCCTGGCCCTCGGGGAAAACCATCGCGGAAAGATGCGAAGGGAGTATGCGTTGCCTCAAGGTGGCTTGCGACCCTCTGTGCGACGCATGTGAGAGGCGACGAGATGACAGGTGACGAGGGTCCAGGCACCCCAACCCGCCAAATAGTGCTAATTACTCGGATTTTCCAGGGCTCTTCGTATCTGGGACAGACTATAGGCTTTTCACAGGTCTCTGCTCTCACTCTTATTCATCAATTTTCCAATTTTATCGAGCTCCCTATAAGTCTCAAGAGCATGTTCTAATCCATCAGTTACACTCAACACTCAAGGTACATTCTACTACAGGTATGGTTGGACAAACATGGTGCTGAAGTGGCAGCGCTGAGAATATAGGCCATCGTGTGACGTTGCAAGTCGTACCACCCTTGCTGCGCAGTTCAAAATGAGGTTCTGGCAGATCTGGTAGCTTCATTAAGCTATCAGATGAATTTAAAAAATTGACGCAACTCTAAATATCAAAAAACTCAACCAAGAACACGAAATTGACGAGACCTGAGTACTTTCAGTACAGAAAGTAAACGAGTTTTCAAGAAGGCATCGCAGTCATACCATTGGACGCTGTCAAATCCAAGCGTTTTGACGATTCTCTAAAATTCCATTCGTCAATACCTGTAGTAGAGTGTACCTTGAGTTACACTGCCGTGCTGAGGAATAATGCCGGATGAGCCTCCAGGTGTTGCCAAATTTCCCTGGGCAAATTACTTATTTTCAGGAACGTTCTTGGCTGTTTTGTCTACTAATTTCTCAGACATTTTCTTTGTACGTAATTTGATCTAAAACGTCTGAAAATTACAAGGAATAATCTTTGTAATTTTCCTTAAAAATTAACATTTTATTCTAGGAAATTTGGCAACTTTGGAATGTTCATACGGCATTCTTGGGCTGCGAGTCTCTGGCTGAACCTACATACTAGTAAGTCACAAGGAGGAGGCAACAGGCATACTTAGAAATATAAAAGGAGGTGTTAGCATCTTGAGGATTGTGTACCCCGTGACGTATTTAGGTTGGTATACAACCTGACTAGCAAAATCCGGATTTTAAAGTATGAAAAACGGACCATAATTTCCGATTGTTTCACTTCAATCAACTAGTGACTTAATTTCAAAAACATTATATAGAATGACTTTTTCCATCAACCACACCATTTCTACATAAATCGATGATGAAACTTGTCTGTACATCCATGTCACCAAAACAATCTGAGATGCAAACACCTCCTTTTTTTCTCTATGGGTAAGAAGATTCTTTACTTTTACCACAGTAGATGTGTTGTTAAACCAATCATTGATGGCTATGGTCTATTACCTAGTTAGTTTTAATGACCGTATCACTCAGCGTACACTAAACAATAGCACATCGACAGTGTAAGTCCACAATCTTGTATCTCAGTTTGCGACAAGGAAGACTTCCTGTCATCCTTTATTTTTGGAACAGGAAGCTACTCAATGGCAATTCTTAAAAACTGCTGTGATTTTTCTTCTCTGCGAAAACTTCAAGGAATGATGTCGATTTGTTCTCCTTCAAAAAAATAACTAATCAGAAGGAACTAACTGATAGCAGGAAGATCTGATGCTAGGTTGCGGCACTAGTTACTACTAACGGGCCTTTACATTGACTCTCATGGGAGTTCAGGGTCCTGTAGAACTCGCCCTCAATGGAATCCCGTAACTCATCAAGACATTCCCACCCCATTTCCCTCCCAGTTTTCACTTCTTTAAAATTGAGTATTTCTGTTTGGCTCGTCATTTATAAAATTATTTTAACCCAATTTTTTTATTGTTGTATTATTGCTTTCACAGAAGTTGGAGTCAAATTCAGAGATGGAGGAGATGGCAGCCAGTAATGGAAAGGAGGGATGTCTACAGGCCATTAGCAGAGGGCCAAAGACGAAATTTAGTAGTTTTCTTTGCTTCATCGACATGACGTGAAGTCATCTTGTATTGTTCTGAGCCACTAACGTTACACAGGTTTCATTGTACACTTGTGAAGCTTGTTAAGGCAGCAGACCCCACTATGCAGTAAGGATGACCACTTTTAGGCAACAATTTTTCTTCAATAGGTACATTTGGACCACATTTTGCCCTATGGAACCACTATTTGCATTTATAGAGTTCCGATTGAACAACACCATTTTGTACTGTGAGTAAATGTATAAAAACCAAGGTGTTGTGGATAAATTTCTTCAATTCACTAAAGCACTTTTTAGCTCATGCCATCATCAGAAGTGTAATGATCTTTCTTATCATCTCTGATGTTTTTATTTTCGACACCATTATATGTAAGTACTGTAAAATATTTAGAACTGTGAATATGTTTCTGTTCAAGATTTTTCATAATGCTCTGATGATGGCGTAAGCTGAAAATTGCTTCTATTCATATGTTTTAGACCTCATCATTAGTGATGACATCACCCTAGAGATTCTAAACTATAATAACGTCATAGTTGTCATTTTTATCGAGGTACAATGGGAAACAGATGTGATAGCTAACCCTTGATCACCACTCACCACTTAGTAGTGGGTTTAATTCAAATTATTTTCACAATGGCCATTTCAGAGTAAGTAATCCTCCATCATCAGGTGTTGCTTTCCCTCCAGACTTATGTACAGGGTGATCCAGACCACCCGTCCACTATCTTTTTCTCGAAAAAGGCGGAGAATTGAGCTTCGGGACCAAATCTTTCATGGGGTAAATCGACCCCAAAGAATCTAATGAAATTATTTTCAGCCCCCCAAAATGGCCCCTTGGGGGGGTTTTGGGGGGGAGCCCCCCCGTTTCTCGCAATTTTCAAATAGGAAGGGTATGTTTTGACTTTGGATTCGGAATCTACTGTAGAAAATAAGAACATTTTGTTCTTTGCACTTTTTCCCTAAACCCCCATTTTTTGGAGTTATGGGGCATTTTGGGGGCAATTTTCAATTCGACGCTGTAAGCGGCCGAATCATCCAAATTTCAAAATCTAAAAATCTCCTGAGAGGAGAGGTCAATACCTTTTTATTGATGTGCCACATACAGGCCCGCCACAAGGGGGGGGATACTGGGTCCTTGGTACCGGGGCCCGGGCCCTGGAGGGGCCCGTGACGCAGGTGACAAACCACTAAGAAATCCATGTGTAACCTTTGTCTCGTAGGGAAAAGTTAAAAAATTACCCTAAAAATTCCGCAAGAGGTGAATGAAGTTTCAAGAACACGCTAGGGCACTATAAAATTTTTCTTACTTTTTTAGAGATTTTCAAGATTTTGAGTATATGTAGAATGATATTTTTAGTAACTGTGTTTCATTTTCTTCCGTTGTCGGATGCTAAGAGGCTCCTTTCTTGGCATCCTCGACTTCAATGGCTTAACTCCCTTGCCATAGACGTACGAAAGGGGAGTCCAGGGGGGCCCGGCTCCCCATAGAATTTAAAATTATCATCTGCCCCCTCAAAAAAAAATTTATAGATGTTTTGAATGCAACAATTCGAAAGTTTTTGGTGCTGAAAGTAAACAAAAAGGCGTAATTATTCTGCAGAAATTGATG